ATGATACTTCCAAGAGGCTGATGTTAATTAGGTGTTAATAAACTCAGGAGAGTCATCAAGGTGCCAGCTATCTCCAGGGTCGGTTGTATCTTTCCTTACCCCATGCAAGTTGGCAGAGCCAAGTCTTCAATTCCCTCCAAAAAACTGTGAGGGTAGGGGCCTGCCTCACCTCTGGGGGGAGAGTATTCCATAGGGTGGAGGCAACAGCAGAGAAGGCTCTCCTCTTAGGACCTGCCAGTTGACATTGTCTCACCAACGGGATCCACAACATGCCTTCTCTGCCAGACCAGGTGGGATGGGTCGATGTAATGGGGGTGAGATGGCCCCTCAGGTAACCATATTAAGACATATTATCACAATTTCATTCATGTTTGCTAAAAAATCAGCAATGAATTGGGACTATCTGTTGCAACAATATCTGACCTTTACTGCAATGATGGATGAAGTTGACAAATCAAAGTTATAAGCCTCAATTTCAAACAATATACTGTGTTTCTGATGGATTTTACAATCAGTAATGGACAAAGCAGACACAAATGCTGCTGCTCAACAGTATATTCCTGCTGTGGTCACATGTCATGGTTGGCAATTTTGCTAGAGGAATCCATTTTTGCTAAAGATGCCTGCTGAGCAGTAAGAAAAATTCATGTACTGAAGTATGCTACAGGCAAGATCAGACACCATTAGTGAGAATAATTATATTTTGCTCACCACAATAGTTAATAAAGTAAAATTAGTTTAAATTCTTGTGATAGCATTGCCATTTAAATACATTTCAGTCATAATGCTGAATGTTCCAGAAATAATCTAAAAGGTTTCTTGGCCATGATCACTCTTCAATCACAAAGATATAATATGACTTCAAAATCAGTATTCTGAAATCTGGAATGATTCATACAAATGTGAGAATAGGCACTTTGGATACTTTTCTTTCCAAAATCAGAGAATATACCTCTATTCTACTCCGTCCCATCCCCACAGTACTGGCAAATTCTAACAATATTGAACCGAACGTTCAGAAAATGGCTCTGAACCATCAAGCACAACCGTCCC